TCTTTCCTTTTTTTCTTTTTCTTTTTGTATATTTCAGCAATATCTACAATATATATCTAAATTAAGAACTATTCATTTTTTAACTATCATTTTATTAGAATATCTAAACAGATTTGTACTGTTAATTGTTTAGATATTAAGATTTATCAAATGCATTTACTTACCAATTCAACATCTAAGAATCCATTTTCTATATACAATTTATTAGAATTCACCAATTTGTGCCCAATTTATATTTTTCACTTTTAGGTTCTATACTTGTATTTCTGTTGATTTTAATATTGAACATTATACAATTAATTTATGTAGCGATGTGTATGTTCCTTCATCCAATATTTTGAATATAACTGTACATTTCATGCATTGAATTATTGTATCACTATGAGGAATATCCATTGAAATACTTTTATTAGTAAATTGAAAGACTTTTATCAGCAATTAAAAACATCTGTATATAAGTATAGACTGAAGCACCAGACCATATTCCGTCTCTGAAGAAGTAGGGCTCCACCTACGAAATGCGTTAGACAGATCAACAAGGCAGGATATAGATCAGTTATACCAGCAGAAGAACACTTTACACGAAGATCCCTTGGTGGATACGTCTACTGAAATTGCATTGTATGCTCTGATCGTCCCCCGGAGTGAGGTTCTGTTGGGACGCACACTCAGACGCACGCCGTCCTCACCGGCAGTTACATTCAGGAGGAGAGTTGGCAGAACACCATCCACATCCATCCTAAGCTGATCCGAGGGTTCATACTGCAATTTGATTCTCATAAGACTGGTAACACCATTATGAACTGTTCCTGACCTGTATTTTATGTTTTTATATATATATATATATATATATATATATTTTTTATTATTATTATTATTTAATAAACTGGTTTTCTTTTATTAGATCCAGTTTTTATCATTCACTTCAGTCCATAGCGATATATCCATTGCTTTAAGCAAACAGTTCCTTATACTGTGTTGCTATCTCCTTGTATATACTTTTATTATTATTATCTTTGCTGATACAAAGTATATTATTCAGTGGAAGTGTCATTTACCCTGTACTTTTCAGGGATAGAGACACTAACACTGCACATTAACATATTGTCCATCGATTTAGTATTTTTCTTTTTCTTCTTTTTTTCTTATGCCACCTTTTTTTATCCTTTATGTGCATATTGTACCACATTTCTATTTTTGTACCACATATTGTACCACATTTCTATATTCACCAGCTACACTCTCATTTTACCAACTCTAATTTTTATTTTATATCTCTTAAAGGCACAGTACTTAATTTTTAAATTTACTTATTTTTTACATCTATTTATTATTTTAAGTATCTGTGATATGTTATTATCAAGCCATTATCACGAGTCAGCTCCTGGTTTCCACGCACTATTTCTTAGAGTGTTGCTCTTCTGACTAATCGATTACTTACAGATCTTCTACAGCAAGTATTAATTTTAGAGTAACCAAACAAATTGCCAAAATATTACTTAAATATTTTCCTATAATGTCATTTACTGTCAAAAAGATGACATCATTGTAGCCGAAAACTATAGAGAGGAATCACTGATTTTAGTAGTAGATCAGTCTATAACATAACTGATGAGAGGTGAACAGCAGACGAGCTAAACAGCCATAGCACTTTTAAAAAGGTTCTCTATAATATGTTTTTCATACAGACAGGATCTTTCCATAACTCAATTACACACAGCATTGGAATTCTATTAAAATTGAAATACAATCAATTATATCATATGGAAAAATAATAGGGGCTACTTGTCTTATGGAGAAGGCATTTACAGGTAAATATGTCAGGGCTTCAAACAGATTCTGCCTGCTACATTTTACCATTTCCCACCAGTTTGCACTAGTTATATTTGATGGGCATAGTCATCTTCTTGCACATTGTTCAGTAGGTGCCAATGATACCTCTCTCAACATACTCAGAAATATTTATGGAGGGTTTTGTACACCCATGCAATCATCAATGGACTCCAATTTTGTATGCTCCTTTGGGTTTTTGGGAATACACAAGGGATGTGTTTCTTTTTAGATGAAGTTACCAGTGTCAGGATTACAAGTTGATCCAGCAGTTAGTACTGTGTCACACCTAGAACTAAGAATAATGTATAACCGGACCTTAGAATGGCCTGACTTAATGTCTCCAAGAATAGTCAAAATACTAGCCGAGGTCAGGGACACAGAATCAGACACAAAGATGAGGGAAAGCCAAAAGTCAAGGATACAGATATCAGGGAAGTAAAAAAAAAGCCAAAGTCAAATACCAGAAAATCAAGATCAGGAACGCACTCTCGGATAACCATAGCAAGAGGAGAGCTGCGTTTAAATACCCCTCCTGTGGATCCGATTGTCTGTAACCGGCCTTTGACCCCAAAGGCAATTACCAGGTTTACATGTGCTTGATTGCTGCTCAGCACAAAACCCTCCTGTGGATTTGATTGGCCATGACAGGCCTTTGACCCCAAAAGTAATTACCAGGTTTCCATAAGCAGGATTGCTGCTCGGCACAACTTTTCCTGCCTAGACAGTAATGTTGCTCGGCACAACTTTTCCTGTCAGGACAGTAATGTTGCTAAGCACAACTTTTCCTGTCAGGACAGTAAATGCCATTAACCACATTTTTATGTGCGGATGAATACGTGACAACCAGGAGAGATGACATGGGAAAGGGGATAAGATTCAAGTAAATCTACTGAAATGACTGCTGAAATGTAATATCTCAAATAAAATGTATCAAAATATACTTCACCATCTTAACCCCTTAAGGACACATAATGGAAATATTCCATCATGATTCCATGTTATTCCTGAAGTTGTGTTGTTAAAACACTTTATTTTGCCTGCAAATTAGCTCTGAAACATAAATTACTATGTAATCTAAAACATTAATCACATTTGTAAATTATAAATTTTGGTAAGGTTATAGATGAATATTAGAATGTAGAAGTAAAAACAGTAATAAAAGAAACATGTAGGTGTCTAATTTACTAGTCAATGTTGTCAGACATAATCACATGGTTAAGGGACTCTTAAAGGACTCTTCATAATTGCTGACAACACTCAGATAAATTGTAGCTTTCCTTAACAGATCTGTATGCTTGTCTGTGATTGTTTATAATAAGAGCCTCGCCAAACTTAGTTGAAAATGATAACGGAGATATGATGCCATTTATTTACAGAAACGGTTCATACAGAAAATTCAAAAGCTGGACTTGAATTTGAAAATTATAAAGTAAGCAAATAAAAATATTTTACCCACATGAGTTTACAAAACAGAAAAAGAAATTCATAAGTCATTAAAATAATTATATTGATTCTATATGTATCTTTTACTGTAGTTTACTGTAGTTCCAACTGTCTGTATGATTAATATGTTCATATCAATTAATTCCTGTAAGAAAAGTGTGCTACATTAAAAAGCAAACTGATTTAGTAATATTTCTGATTCAGAATCCAAATATATACTTGATTAATCTTTAATAATAATACATTGCAATTAATATGCAAATTTCTGATGGATATATCATGTTTTTTTGATTGTTTGTGGATATGCAAACCATAAAGCACAATGAATATTATCTGCATTGGAAATCATTTGCATATCCATAACACAAAAATGATGGAGTTCTGTGGTTTCACTTTTAATTTAAACGCTTCAATATACATTATTTATAATTTATTTTTTATTTTTTATATTCTTTATTTTTATTGTGCATGAGATAACATGAGAGCTGACGATGCCACAACAGCATAGTACAAGCCTATTAAAACAAGGTATTTCACATATATGGCTTTAAATTATTGGCACATTTTTTGATTTGTTTGAGGATAAACAAGCTAGGTACACACATCTAACTTTAATTCACCAGAGTAGCAAGCAATAACATCAGCTTGCATAGCGTGGTGGGCATTATAAGCAGATTAACTTTTATGCAACGTACTAACGTGTACGTTCTGGCAGCATGGCTAATCTGGATAATGCTACACATTTAACTGGTCTGAGATAGGCATTATGGTGATATGCTATATTTCATGAGCGTTATGTACAGCCTATTATAAATGAGTAATTACATCAGGCTAGATAACATTTATGCATGTGTTGTCCCATTGAGTCAACATGCTCTGGTTTAGTAAGGATTGCTTTTTAAACATTTACCAGCGGAGCTTATGAATTGCCGCAGAAATACACGCAAGAACAAACCGCTGGGTAACATAACTGAGGGGTAGGGAGTTTATCGCTTGGGGGGAGGGCATCAAGAGTTACATGTAGAGGCAATATGAGGCATAGGACGATGGACTCAGCTGCAGTTTCAAGTGTCCAGGTCGACCAATACCCTCCAGAAGTATATCACAGTCCCGTTTGGGTTTGCATGTTTATGTGCATCTTAGTCTCAGTCGTGGCATGTGCTTTGAAAGCGCCCCGTGTCATGGTCGTGGGCCGTGGTTGGTCTGACCTGGTGTTGTCGCCAATTTGGGCCTCGCCATCTCCATACACAATTTAGTGGGGCTGTGTTCTTACTGGGCCTGGTCCAAGTCACTGCTCGCTGGTGATGAAGTCTTGGGCACTTTGTCTTGGTCACTCCCACGGTCCTGAGTGTCAATTTCGGGCTGCCGCTAAGGAGACTCAAGGAGCCTGATCTTAAGATGGCACCTCTACGACGCTGGCCTTTCATGCATGTGGAGCCTGTGGGAGTGTCTGCATCCCTCTCTGTGACCACCTGTGCCGGGCTTTGTATCTTACCCTTTGTCTGGGTCTCCATGTTGGAAGGTCACATACAGGCTTCTAGCTTCTCCCAGAAGGAGCTGAAAATTGCGGTTAGTCGGATCTCTGTTTCTGTTGCGTTGTGGGAGGCCTCCGCCAATTTATATGTCTTGCCAGTATCCACAGGACGTTGTGTCCGAGGTACTGTCTCGCTACCTAGCTTGGGGATCGAGTGAGGGTAGACTGGGATAACCCCCACCGAATGAGGGCCCAGAGACGTGTACCTGGCTGCAGGGAAGCGGCCGTCTTCCACGCACCTACCATGCTGGTAGTCCTCAACGTGATTTTGGGTGCGCCTTTTTTGCTTTGTCGCTTGGGTGGTGTCTGTGTATGCACCCTGGTATCCCCGTCACTTGGTGGCCTTTATGTGCCATTTTAAGGTCGTTATTTGGTCTGGAATCCGCTTTGTTTGCCCCAAATAACAGGAGCTGGTGAGGCAAGTATCCTCTCTGTTCAGCGGGCAGGCCCCCCCCCCATTTATAATATTTTTGCACACAGTCTGTCCTCTCCTCATCAAGTTTGACATGTAAACAATGCAACTAACATTGTATAGGTATTTTATAAGAACCATATTTACCTTTCACAAGCAAGTAAACATTTTTAGACCGTTGGTGACCTAGAATTTGAATAATAAATAATTAAAGTAAGACTGGATGCCTCATTCAATCCTATTTTCAGTACAACAAAAAAGCAAATGATTGTTTAAAAAAAATGTAGGTTCTTCTGAACCACATCAACAGAATTTTTTTGGAGGGATGACATAATTTACTATATTATATTTCCTACCAATACAAAATTGGGAAACAAAATATTGCACCCAAAAAAAGCAGGAAATAAATGTTTGTATGACTGTGCTTACACGCAAAGATGGCTTCAATAATACCAATACTAATGAATGCACAATATTAAGCCTTTTTGCAACGTAAATTCTTAGTTGCCAAAATTAGATTATTATATATCTGGATTAAAATAAGAATTGAGAAAACCTTTTTTTTTTATTATTGATTGTAATTTTTTTTTCCCCCTATCTTATATTAATTTAAAAAAATGGGAAGCAGAAGAAAAGTTACGTTGAAAAAAGGGGATTTATCCAAAAATCAGAGAAAATGTGAGTGGGCAATTGATGACTCACTTAGCCGGTCCACCCTTTTTTGCATAATTGCCTTTTTCAAATGAAATGACTCCTGTTGGGCCCTGATTTTTTCCAACACTGAAGGACGGTCGCTGATGGTACAGACTGGATGTGTGTAAAAGCTTTGCTCTTGTGGTGAGTGTGAAGCCAATTGCCAGTTGGCTTTCTTTCTGCTGAAATGATCAGAAGAACTGATTTTTATTTTGTCTTGCACAAGTCTACTAGCTAGCTAGGTACAGCAGCAAGATAAACCTAGTTTCGCACTACAACCCAAGCTATCTCCTACACAAGCACAGCAAGGAATCACTCCTGGTCTGTTTCCCTCGATAGCTGCAGTCAAACTGTCTGGAAAAATCCTACTTAGAAGATTGCTTCATCATTCTCCTTTCACTTGATCTGTGAATAAAGTTAACATTTAGTGGCTGCCCCTAACCATCAACCATCTTTTGATTTAACTCTTGATTAAATAGGCGATACATACCACATGATTGGATAGATCTCTTGCCAATAATGGTAAATTAAGCTGCTTAGATGTCCCCACCAAAAACAATCTTCTCTATTCCACCTACTTTTTGGGGAGTTCCAGGAATAGCACTCCAAATCATAAATTGAAATAAGCATGCTCAGGTTTCTGCATGTCAGTTTCCCTGGAGGTTCTGAAATTGGAATTTCATCTTAACACCTGTTTGAATAAATTTTAATTTCTAAGTCTAATTGTTAAAGAAACTTAGTAATTAAAAGTACTTCTAGAGGCTATAGGACATTTTAGGAGTGTTTGGTGTGATATATGCCTATTTACCATTAGTAAATAAATTTGCGTTATCTAATAAGCTTTCCGAGGCTTTGTCCAGGTGTTTGTCATTTAAAGAGAGATCTACTGATTTTTTTTGAGACTATAAGATAATTAGAAGAGAATAATTGTACAGTTAAAACAAAACAAACATTAAACAAACTCATATGATGACAGCAGACAACAAATATTTGAGTGAGACAAAAAATAATAATGTCTAGTGGTCTAGGGTAGTTAGATAGTCATTAAGGATTTAAGTTAGAGCGAGTAGTGCATCAGGACTGATTTGCTTTCATAATATGCATTAAAAAATTAGACACATGTCTACATATATACCACAGTTTTTAACACGTTTTACTCTGGGAAATGAAAGAAAAAGGCAGGGGAAGAGAAAGTAGGGTTTGAATGTAGAAGATGAATGGTGCCACATAATTCTTAGGTAAGGAAGAGAAGGGGAAGTAGGCAGAAGGACACAAAAATGGATGGTGGGAGTAAACATACCGACAGTTTCATGGAAACATATGATAACTGAGTACAAGGATTATCTGTCGTATCATCAGCCATACCAAAATCCCTAGCTACCAAACAGAAGGACTGAAGCAAAGAAATACAAAGTAGAGGATGATGCAAACCCCATAAACAGAAGTCATCCACGTAGTAATTAGAGAGGAGGTACCTTAAACCTGACCCACTCAAGAAAGGAACTAAACAATTCAAACAAAAAAACAGGAAATCACAAAGTCCACAGACAGGCACATGTCAAAAAGAACTCACCTTGCATACAACAACCCAGCAAATGGAAAAAGTCAAGATGCACTGATTACAGCTGCAAAGCCGACTCGATTTCAGGATTAGCCAGAAGCACCACTTTTGCCCTGCACTCTGACTAACTCCAACACTTAATCGAATAAAGTATAATGAACTGAATGGTGAATTAGGCAATAGAAATTAGGTTACTTTTTTAGAACAAGCCCCAGTGGAGAGATCCACATATTGTCCCACCCTTCATCCTAGCTGGATTAGTAGACATCCTATCCAACTCTGACTGCAGCAGGTGTACTCACTCTCCCTGACCATCTCTTTGAGCAGGTGATGCGTATATCCTCATCCAAAACTGTCCCCCAAACACTAGCAAGGAACTTACATGGCTAGACGCCTCAAGTCTGATTCTGAATCTGAGTCTAAAGAATCCTCACTAGTCACCAATGTCCTTCCCAAATGCTGTTGGAACTCCATCCATGAAAACTAGCCCCCATTCCAACTCTCTTCCTGATGTCCTCCATAGATAGACCACAAGTGTTAAAAAGGTGCATAATAAGTAAGCTACAACATCAATGGATGGCTACAGTGTTTAGGAAGTGAAATAATAGAGGAATATTTGGTATGGACAAAATAAGCTGATGGTATATAGTGAGTATTGAGGTAAGAATTTCTGTGCAGTATTGTGTACATTGGGACAAGAGGATTGTAGGATGTTAGGGAAAAGCCCTGGGGTAATATTGGCAGTGGATATTAAGGGTTAGAAAGAGGAAATACTGGGGTACCATAGGAGTTGAGCATGAGGCTGAAACTTTGGGTAGCATGGGGAAGTGATGGTGAATATTTGGGGATGTAAGTATAGAGGCTGGTGGAAAATTACGGAGGGATGGGTTGTAAAGAGGATACTAGGATATTGGGGTAAGGGTAGAGAAAGGCAAGTGAGATTTTGTTGGAATGATAAGCAATGTGGATAAGAAGGGACACGTGGAATACTAGGCTGGTATATGGAGGAAAAGAGACTAATGAATGGTGAATAGTAGGAGAAGCTGGCTGAATATTGTGAGACAATAGAATGTTAATTTGAGTAGTACGTTGGTAGATGTGGAGATTGAATGAATCTTGGGAAAATTGTATGTAAGAATGGTGTATATGGAATGTTGGTTGTATGGGTCTTGTAAAGCTTGGGTGTAGTAATGTGGTGGGAGATGGATTGTATTAATCTATACTGACCAATAAAGTCCTAAAGCACAGATGCTGTGTTTGAGTAATGCTAATTTAAAGTATATTTTTCTATGAACAGCTTTATGGGCTGTTAAATGCATAATGTTTTCAGCTGTCTTTTTTATTTTGCCAGTTTTATTTTCCAAATTTGAATACCTAAGTATAGTTTATATACTGATCTCTGGTACAAAATAGAGACTGATAATGTTGTGTTAGAGAATTTAATTTAGATTGTTAATTTATTTAAAGTTTAGAATTTCATTTTGCAAAGGATAATGCTTATTTGGCTTGTTCAATAGCTATTGTACATGTAATGTTGATTGTACGTGGCAGCCACCACCCTATGATGGCGCCTGGCACGGAGGGAAGGAGTTTGGTCCTGTCCCCATGATCTCCACCCAATTGCCAGTGTCCACAGTCACCACCCCCCTAGCCCCTGCCCCTATGTTTCCTGTCCTTAGAGCGGATGGATCATTGTATTTCCCCACCCCCGTCATGCCTTCCCTGCCCGCCACCAATATACCTTCCCTCTCCACCCCTATCGAGTCCGCCCCATCACGTCTGTCCCTACCGTATGTACTCCTGTCACTTCTGCCCTTTCTATGCCCTCACTTCCTGCGCCCGTCCCTTCCGCCCCTGTCATGGCTGCCCACATGATGTCCACCCCTCTTATGCCCATCATGGCGCACAAACCCCCAGTTACTATGGGAGGTCTGTCCACCCTCACATCCCAGTGGGGAGCCCATGCTCCGTCAACCCTCTTCCAACCCTGATGTCCTCTCCCTGGCCCATATGGCACTTACGAAGTGACGCAAGCCCCAGGCTCTCCGATGCCGCCAGTTCCCATGAGTCCCAGATCCCCCCTCCACCCCTCCCCTTCCAACTTCCTCCTGACAACGGTAGCCAATTTGGGGGCAATCCTTCATCACCCCGTGCTGAGAATCCCAGAGTCCCCCAGGATGATATTCCTAGAGCCCAGTTCCTTATGGACAGAGCCCCTTTGATGTATGTATCTCTCCCAGACCCAGAGAAACAGCCTATGCAGCCAGCCCAAGCCCTTGCTATTTCTCAGCAGGTTGAAAGCCTATTGTCCAATGGTGCTCTGGTCAAGTGCAAGTCTTCCTGCAACACTCCCTTGTTCCCCGTGAAGAAGAAGACTGAAAAGGGTGAGCCAGAAAAATACAGGATGGTCCAAGACCTCAGAACTGTTAATAAAGCAACCATTCTGGACACCCCTATTGTGCCTAACCCTCATACCCTCCTGTCAGGAGTCCCTCCTACCTCAAGCAATAAACCTGGACTGTCAAGCCTCAGGAAGCTCAGAACTCTCCCAGTCAGTTTGCAAAGGCAATGGCTTCAATCCTGGACTCCTGGCAACAAGCTCACACTGATGTGGTCCTACTCCAATATGTGGATGGCCTCCTTCTCTGTGCTGATGATCTTCCAACTGCTGAGCGTACCTCAGAAGATCTACTTTGCTACCTTGCTTAACAAGGGTGCAAGGCCTCCAAG